CACCTCTTTGCTGACCTCTCACTGGTCAATGGCAACAATGGTTCGCCTGCCACCTCTCTGCGGTGCTGTTCGTCTTTATTTTCCATCCTTGGACCGATGACCGGTTCCGTACCCACACACGAGCACTTCGTGCCGCCACCACACGTGTTACTTTTTTGTGACTTTGTCATCCTCGCTCGGCTTCTCTTACCTGCACCCTGTTATTCAGTGTTCTGTGTTGCTCCTTCCCGAACGCTGCGCGGCGTCGTAAGTTTCTGTTCCTGTTCACACGTGTCGGTCAAATTGGAATGACATAGACGATTTGTTAATTTTTTTAACAACTTCAAATCGTTTTTATAGGATACTTCGGAGAAAGAGAGAGGGTTGGGTACTGTGTGCCAAAACTGAAACGACTATCACTGTTGACCACGTTAATGTCACGCAGTAGTGAACTTTTGGGGACACTTTCGTCTCACATGTGGTTTTCACCGCTTCATAAGCTTGGCCACATTTGACGTGATATTTCTCAACAAATAACGAAAAGAAAGAGACGAATGTCCTCTCTTGTTCCCCTATACTTCAGAAGAAACAACATGACTGTCCCGTGACGACGACAGATAGAAACACTCTCTCTCTCTCTCTCTCTCTCTCTCTCTCTCTCTCTCTCTCTCTCTCTCTCTCTATTAGCAAACATAAAAACTTAGTTTGCATTTGTTTCTTCGACAATATGTACTTGTTCAAATAAAAACAGTCCTCACGCTGTTTTGCATGCTGCTTCGATCCCCATTGTGGTTTAGAGAAGCGCGGAACAATGTGAACTATGTCTACAATAGGGTCGGTTGAAACGACGCTACTGTGTTGATTTCCATTCAACTTCTCCCATTTCAATTTCTTGCAACCTGTCATGTGTTGCTGTTCACTGTCGACCTCCTTGTACCTTTGCACAAATCCGCAGTTGTGTTTCATATTACCGCTGTCCGCGGGTGCGTCGACGACAAAAAACATGGCTACTGATGCAAACCATGTGCATTCGTTGCCTGCTCTAATTGCGATGTCACTGTGCACTGGTCTCCCATGGAACTGTGGCGACGCTCTTGCAGTTTGAACAAGTGTGCCCCTGTTTGTTCCGTCCTGTACGCAAGCGATGGCCAGGTGTGTCCGTGTGTGTATAAGCAGGTCGTCAGAAGGAGGTTGACAACCATTCTCCACCATGTATGTCGTAAGCGCAGCTCAAAAATCGCGTCTGCAAGGAAGCTCTTCGAGTATCTTACACACATGGTTGTCAATGCCTTCTCCCTCGCGTATGTACTCGTCATCGATGTCGAACCAGCGCAGTTGCAGCATTGTCGTGTCGCGTAGTGCGAGGGTGTTCATTCAGGTGGCCATATAGTCTGTCACGGACGACCGGTTCTCAACCGTTCTCTTCCTCCGTTTCCTCACGATCCCGATCTATTCGCACAACGCCAATGACCGACGCACATGGTTTACCATCTGGGTTGAAGCTTTCCGCTTGTTTGATGACAGGTATGACTGTTTGCAGAATTTTCTGTGGTGATGCTCCCAAACATCTGTCGTGAAGGTGTCGGGGACACTGGATCGCTCAATACACGTTGTCAGATGCATGAGATCGTGCAACTTGGGGAGTTTCCATGTTGATGGTGGATATTTTCCCAATTTTCCTTTGATGGTCATTACGAAGTCCGTGATCAAAGCGTCGCATTCATCGAGCGAAGCACAACTGTGTGTTGTACATCGAAACACTCGTATGTACATTTCCATCAGTTTCACAAAACAAACGGTAATGCCCTTGCCTGTCGAGCACGGTATAATATTAGAAATAAGGAACACGCACACTGTCATCAAAAACCGGTTTTGCTTCACCTCGAACCGTCCCTCCCTCGAAAAAAAGTCGCTGTTAGTGGCCACCGGCAACACAAGTTGGGGGTATGTTCGCATGCATCTCTCACTAACGCTTTGCAACCTTGCATCTAGTTCCTTCAGAATCTTTGCTTGCGGTAAGTGCAACAACTTCTCAAAGGCTGCAGTCCTGAATGCGTCAATCATGTGCAGGAATATGTCGTGCTCGATTGTGTGCATACGGTCTGGTTGCAATGCCAGGTGGTAGTCTAGCGGACGATCGTCACCATTGGGGTCCCTATAGAACCCCCAAAGGCCGTTCTGTTGAACATGCCTATGCATGTTCAACTCCGACATTCCTGCTTCCGCTGCACGGCGAACGTCGATGAAGTCGACGGTGAACACATCTACTGTGAGGTGTGTTTCCAGCGTTTGTGATCTCTTGCAGTCTGTGAAATCGGCTATGACATCAAAATCATTTTTGGACACGGTGCATGTCGGACATACACCAAACTTCACAGTTGCAATCGCACATCGTTTTGGGTAGTCCTGGATATAGTTGAGGAGGAAAGGGTGGACAATTATGTCCCCGAATCGCGTTGTCGGTATGATTATTCCGACATGAGATGCCTCCTTCGCAGACTGCAACACCACTGAAAGGGCCTTGTGCAAAATGATGGCCTTTCACTTTCTGAATGCGGTGGACTGCAGACCCCATCCTTTGTTACAAAGACGATGATGAAGCACGGAAAGATAGGCCAGTAGTGCGGCTTCGGATGCGTGGTCGACTAGTGACATCATCAGAGGGTACGCTGTCTGTTTTTAACGACCGTCTGTATGTGTCTTGTCGGAATACAATGAAAGAGGGATAACATAACGTGGATTACCATTCCCGTCCACGCATTTGTCCGCTCGAATGATCAACTGGATGTGATAACTTAGCGCCCCACTGCGTGGGCCGGATATACTGAGGTGCTCTAACGGCGGAGACACTTCTAGAGAAGACACCGTCTCACATTTCTGTAATGCGATATGAAAAATCGACAAAAATGTCGTTCGCCAGTCGCGGTGCCACAAAATGGCGTGCGCATCCCGTGGCCAATCGTCACAACGTAGATCCAACTTTTTCCATCCAGCAGCGTCTGCTAGACTCCCTGCCCATGTCAAACACTCTCGACTATTACGATACGCGATGTCTCTCGTGCAGAATCTCGGGTCCGTGAGAAGTGACAAGAGAGCATCTATGTCGCTCTGCGACATACCGACGCCGGCCCTGGCGGAGAAAATCAGTGCCGCCAGCTTGCGAGAGCTGTCAAAAGATTCAACAGGCTGTGGTCGCTGCTCTTCGTCCTGTACTCCCCGTCTACATTCTAGGGGGCCCCGACGTCCTCGCTCTCATCGCTCACGAGATTCACTGCACCTATACTTGATGCTCCAGCGTCATCGACCACACCCATCTCCTGGCCATGTGTTCTTTCGTCCGCCACGGCCGGGCATGCCCTCGCACGATGTAAGTTCAAAGTTCGTAATGACATGAAAGGCCTGCCACAGTCGCACACCCGTGAACCACTGTCCATTTTCTGTGCACGTAGTGCATTCCAAAAACAAACAGAGCGGTGCGGACAGTGTTTTCATTAGCATTTTGTACATTGGTTCAGGTCGTTAGAATTATAAGTTGTAGAGCATATTTTGTTATATTGTGTAAGTGTTGCACATCCTCTTCTCCGTGAGAAAGAGATAGAGAGGGAGTACTGATTGCCATTTTTGGTACGAATGGTCTGTGTCGCTGATCCCAATTGACAAAGATTAGTAGTCAACCGTGTGACACGATAATTTATATGCCATGACAGGTTCTATGGCCGTGTAGGAAGAGGCAACGACTTACACATGGTACACGATATATGACACAATATTCATCACCACGGTTTTGCGGCTGACCAAGTTCGTAACTATCCATCCACGACGTTTGTGAATGTGGTATGTGTTTTCCATGTCCGCGTGAAAATGATTGCACCTCGGCACCTCAGCCGACCTCCGCACAAACTTCCGAAACATTTCACAACCATCCATCCACGATGTTTGTGAATGTGGTATGTGTTTTCCATGTCCGCGTGAAAATGATTGCACCTCGGCACCTCAGCCGACCTCCGCACAAACTTCCAAAACATTTCACAACCTATTACATTTGAATTTAAATTATACAAAATGCAAAAAAAAACACAACATACACACATTGGTCATCACATGGGGTCTGATGTGTCTCACGTAGTCCAAAACGCAACAAATTATGACATACATCGTAACAATCATTAAATAATTGAAATACTGTTCAATCCTGTGTCTGCACGCTGTAGTGAACCGCATGTATTTGGAGAGGCAAACAACAGGCAACATTAAATGTAACCCGCAGATGGATGTAGAGGTTCTAATATAGCTACAACTTGACATATGAGAAAGAGAGAGAAATATATATATATATATATATATATATATATATATACAGAGAGAGAGAGAGAGAGAGAGAGAGAGAGAGAGGAGGTTTACTACTGCGAGCCAAAACGACAACAAACAGCACCGGTGGACACTGATATGGCACGCACTAGTGAACCTGACCGTCGTTGAAATTGAGGCAAACATAGAGGGATGTACAGGTTGAGGGATGCATGTCTGTCATCATCCCTGATGTCTAACATGGTCTGTCGTGGTGTGTGTGTGTGTCTCCGGTCGCTACCGTGACCGAGCACTAACTATTGCGTCTCCTGTTGACAAGCCGGGGTGCAATGTTTCTCCCGAAGCTGTCGCCATTGCGCCGTGTATGAGGCAACTAAGGTTGACTCCCCATGTCAGTGACGTTGCTAGCACAACCTCTCTATTGACCAGAAGAAACCATCCCTTGCCAACACGTGACCACTTTTTCCCCTTGTTGCATGATGTCATTATGCTGGTCACTGCGGCATACTGTAGTGCACCATCTGGTGTTGCCCCGTTCATCACAACACGCAGCACTTTGTGCGGATCGGAAAAAGCACGTGCCAACCTCAGAATTGCATGTGCCCACCCTTTTGTCACTTGTCCACCCGCAACCTTCAAATCATAGTATACATCATGTTCTTCGTCTTCCTCGTCGCTGCTGACATCGCTGCTGCTCACTTCCACGTCAGAAGATGATGCCCCCTCATCCTCTTCTTCATCTTCTTCTTCTGCACTGTTTGTGTACTCTGCACAACAACTTGGCAAATCGGCCTCTTCAAATCCACGATCACACTGTTCTTTTTCCATTGTGAAAGCATTGAAGATATCGCAACACACTAGCTGCTCTCTCGTTGCTGTCTGCATGGGAGGCACATCGACTGCCATACTGGTTATTGATTCTCATGCTGCTGATGTCTGTCCGTTGTCTGGAATGATTGCTAAATTTGTTTCCGTGACCATCACCTTCCACCCTTCTTCTTTTTTTTTTTTGTCTCTCAACATCGCAGCTTGCAAGACCGAGCCGCTCCAAAGTAGCTGATAACAACTCCCCCCACAACAGTCTGCCAGATATGATGTTGTCTTCTGTTATTACTAGCACAAATTCTATCTGATCTTGACCCTGCAGTGCAAACTCTGTCACTTCGTACAACGCCTCATGCATGACGTTCCTGTCGTCGTCACTCTTTTTCATGAAGTCCACAAGTTGATCCAGCACAATATATTCCACACCATCTGCGATAATGACAGGAACATCTTGAAAGTCTTCTGGCGGTGTTTGTGTAATGTCCTTCATTTTGGACAACACCAATATTTCTGCAACACCACTCTTCAACTCGTCCTTTGACCCATCAACCAGCATTCCCCCATTCCGTGCGACAGTGCCCAGCAACTTGCCCAAGTTCGCAGGTGTATATGTTCCCCCTGTCTGCTGCATTGTCATGTCCACGTCTCCTTCTTCGCACATCCCTTCGCTGCAGATCCATTGGACCACTCCTTTTAGACTGTATGCACTGTCTTCCACATCGCTGTCCACACGTACATGTGGTGACTCTCTGAAGCGTTGCAAGAGTGTTCGTGCTTTGACACAGCCCTCGCCGTTTGCCATGATTGTGGATCTCATATCCACAGCGACTATGTAGTACCTCGGCACCCTGTTCTGAAGCAAAGACAACTCGTTGTCACCGTTGTAGTGGACGTCCTCCTTTGCATACTTCATTACCTCTGCAAGAGCAGAATCCACCTGTGCTACTGACATCGACATGATGCGTACGGTTTGTCTTTCGTCCTCGTGTCTCTGCCAGCGGAAACGCACAATGACGTCATCCACATGTGTGTGTGTGTATGTGTGTGTGTGTGTGGCGTCTATGTATGAACCTATGTGGATGTCTGTGTGTCTTTGTGTATATGTCTATGGATGTGTGTGTATGAATGGTTTGTGCGTGTGTTTGCGTGTCTGTTCCCAAGTTGGCTACTGCATACCATTCGAAGTCGCAACGGTAATCATTCGTCAGTTTCTGGCACACAGTAGCCAACTTTAAGGGTGCATGCCAGAATGTGTGTGTGTGTGTGTGTGTGTGTGTGTGTGTGTGTGTGTGTGTGTGTGTGTGTGTCTTTTTGTATATGCCTGTGTATGTGTGTGTGCATTTGTTATGCGTGTTTGCTTGTGCATGTGTTAGCGGGTCCGACTTCAGGTTGGCTACTGCGTGCCATTTGAAGTCACAACGGTAGTCATTCGTCAGTATCTGGCACGCAGTAGCCAACTTTAAGGGTGCATATCAGAATGTGTGTGTGTGTGTGTGTGTGTGTGTGTGTGTGTGTGTGTGTGTGTGTGTGTGTGTGTGTGTGTGTGTGTGTGTGTCTTTCTGTATATGCCTGTGTGTGTATGTGTATTTGTTATGCATGTTTGCTTGTGCATGTGTTAGGGTGTCCGACTTCAGGTTGGCTTATGCGTGCCATTTGAAGTCACAACGGTAATCATTCGTCAGTTTCTGACACGCAGTAGCCAACTTTAAGGGTGTATGTCAGAATGTGTGTGTGTGTGTGTGTGTGTGTGTGTGTGTGTGTGTGTGTGGGTGGGTGTTGTGTGTGTGTGTGTGTCAACTTTAAGGGTGCATGCCAGTTTCAGGCACGCAGTAGCTAACTTTAAGGGTGCATGCCAGAAAGAAAGAGAAAGAAAGAAAGAAAGAAAGAAAGAAGGAAATA